CCCTGCCCCCGCCCAGGGCAAGATTGGCCACATGAAGGGGGCCGTCGGTCAATTCTGGCTTCCCGAAATTCTGGGAAGTAGCCCTCGACTAGAGCAAGATAACGAGATTGCACGAGCTTTACACTCGGCCATGCGAGCATGCTTCCCTCACGACGTGGAGATTTGCACCGGCAAGAGCCAGCCTCACTGTGCACACCACGCGTTCGTGTTGCAACAGGATTCTTCTCATACTCTGTACGGTATCGCGCTGCGCGTTTGGTCCCGTGCCGATGAGAAGCGCGCAGAGACCATCCGCGAGCTACGCAAGAAGACCGAGCCGGACTTCTATGATAATCCCGATGAGACCTACTGGATTCCTTACTGCCTCAGCTTCCTCTCCCGGTATCCCCTCTACGATCTTCTAGGTGATTACCTCCGTGGCATGTGGATCCATTGGAACAAGGCCACCAACCTGTTCCACGCCGAGGAGGTCTCCCGTATCCTTAGCTTCCCGGCCCCGCGTCTGAACGACTTGGTCCGTATTGATATGAAAGATTATGCTCTGTGCTATCAGTTCCCCTCGTCACCAACCGGCTTCCAGAACTTTTCTATGTGGCCATTGTTCACTTGCCTGTCGATCCCCAACATTGTTGGCGTGATCGAAGCTGCTGTCTCCCCTACCCGCCGCATCATTTTTGTCAGTCACTACCCGGCGATGCTGACTGTTGCTGCGGAAACCATCCGGTACTGCGTTCGCGTCTACGAGTGGAGCGGTCTGTACGTGCCCGTGGTTCACGCCCGCCACGTCAAGGAGCTCGTCCAGGAACCCGGTCCCTACATTCTGGGTATCACTGCTGAGTGCCGGACTCTGTTCAACGCCCCGTCTGATGCCCTCGTGGTCGACCTCGATCGCAACTTCGTCCTCACCTCTAGCCCACCTAATGTGCTGAACCAGGGCCAGCGCACCAAATTCATCAACCGCATGACACAATCCCTGAATGGTGATGTATCGCCTTCCGGTGTGCCCCCGCACCTGCGCACTGCCTACGCTGGCGGCAAGCTCATCCCGGCTGGCCAGATCATTGTAATGAGAGGAGAGGTCGAAAGCATCGAAGAGCCCCAATGGTGGAACCAGGATGCTGTTATGGGTGTCATGGACCATGTGTGCGAGAAGCTGGTACGTTTACCTTCTCAACTTTTTACTAACCACAATCAAGACTAACGTTCTATTTATTAGGGTCGCAACACCGGTATGAAGGCCATCTTCGGTGGCTCTGTCAAGAAGCCCCTCATGACCAAGGTTTCCATGCGTCACCTCAACGAAATTGTCCGTGAGCGCAACCAGTACTCTCGGGATGCCATGGAAGCTTGGCAAGACTTCATCAACCTCAAAGGAAGAATGGACACCGAGCTCAGCAAGGTTACTAAGCGCAATAACTTCTTGGTTGAGGAGCTCGAGACCTGGAAGCAGCAGTTCCTCAAGTTCCAGGCGTTTGCTGAGCAGCTCACCAAGGAGACCTCCGAGCTTAAGGTCAAGATCGAAAACCACAAGCGCGAGAGCCGTCGTCTCACTAGTCTTATTGACCAACAGAAGGACGATGTGGTTCGTCTTACCCTGCGCTTGTCTGGTACTGAGAAGCAGCGTGACGACGCTCTCGAGGCATTGGTCCTCCAGCAGGAGATTGCCGAAGAGCTCGAGCGCGAGCGCAAGCGCAACCAGAAGGAGATTTCTGCTCTCTCGCATACTAACGCGACCCTTTCCCGCGAGCGTGAAGATGCCCAGCGCGTTGTCATGCATCTGCGCAGCCTCATCAACGGCCAGAGCCACCACATGGAGCACATTGTCCGCTCCATTGGTAGCAGGTCGGAGATTACTGAAATGGTCGAGCAGGGCTACGAAGACGCTCCCGAGGAGCTCAAGGAGGATGTGTCCGTCGCTGGGTCGAAGGAGTCTGTCAAGACGGCTAAGGAGGTCAATGGTGACAATACTCTGGTAAATCACATGAAGCCCGAGCTAGAGCAGCATTTGCTGAACATTGGGAAGGATCACAAGACCCTTGCTCGCCTCAGCATCACAGATGTCGCAGACCGCTACCTGCGCGACAAGACCGATGCCATCGCAGATATCATCCGCAGCATCAGCGACCAGTGCGCCGCTGCTGTCGAGGGCTTGCACCTTGCCCAGGATGCCGAGGATGAGGAAGACTCCGTCATGTCTTCCAAGCACCAGAATGACCGTCTCGGTTCCGACTACGGCAACATGGAGGGCCGCTCCACCCGCGCCCCTAGCGAGATCAGCGACGCTGACAACAGCTCTCTCCACCCGGACAATCGCCACTCCAGCATCCCCCCAACACCGGATCTGGTCCACAACCGCTCGAGCACGTCCATGTCCATGATCAGCAGCTCGACTTTCCCTGAACGGTCAAGTCAGCAGTATGGCCCCGGCGATATCCCAACCCGGATCGTCGAGGACGATGATGAGCACGCTCACGAGACTGAGAATGTTGATGACCAGCAGACTGAGCGCGGCACTTTGTCCAAGCAAAATAGCGAGGATCTCATGCGGCCCTCTACCGCACGTGTGATCTAAACTTTTCATCAGCTTTTCAGGTTAGATGACGCAACGCTTGACTGAGACGATCCTGTTTGTGTTTTTTCTTCTCTTCTCTGTTCATTCCTTGTTCTCCTTCTGCCTGGCGAGGCATTTCCCTCTTCTACTTCATCTGTGCAGTATCCTGAATACGCACATACGCTCTGGTTGTCTGGCGTATCTTATCGTCTTTCCTGCTCCTTTTCGTCGTGTCGATTATCTTTTTGATCTTCATTATATCCCGACCATATTTGTGTCGTGTCTTCTTGTCCAATAATTTATGGCCATTTTTGCCTCCCCGGGTCTTGTTATTTGCTCTCTTTTTGTTTTCAATTTTTTTTTTTTTTTGCCCTGTTCCCCGAGGAATTCGTTTATTTACTATATGTCGTGCCGTCTGGGATGGAACGGCTTTTGATTTGCTCTCTCGAAGAGCCCTCCACTTTGCACCATCCGCGCTGTCTGCGGATATTTCCTATTTATCTACAGTCCTTGATCTGGATTGATCTCATATATCAGGGTCTATATACTCCCTGTCTTCTAAAATGGATTATGTGAATTTGAACTAGTAAAAATTGCCAACCCATAGTCAAAGTACCCCTGAATAGGCCTATGAAACCATTCTCCTTGTATGATTAATATGCTAATCATGAACTATGTACATCACTCGAATGCAGTTCAATGCCTAGGTCTTATTTCAAGCCAACTTTCCTGGCACAAATGGATGCCCAGCACTCAGCCCACCGCAAACCGCCCAAGCCTGCCCATTAACATAGCTACTCTCATCACTACCAAGGAACAGCGCAACACGAGCAACCTCATCAGCAACAGCTCCTCGCTGCAACGGGTTCAATTGCCCGACCTTGCGTTCGGTACCGCGCTCCCGTGCCCGATCAAACACCGTCTGCGTCATTCCCGTCTCAATCAGCCCGGGGCAGATCGCGTTCATGCGGATACCCGTCCCAGCGAGCTGGTACGAGACAGTTTGCGCGATCGATACGACTGCTGCTTTTGAGGCGGAGTAATCGGTTGAACCGGCGTTGGACCGGAGGCCTGCTACAGACGCTGTGCCGATGATCGAACCGCCTGGGTATGGCTTTGAGGCTGAGGTTATCTTCATTGCTGGGGCTGCGTGTTTGGCTGCTAGGAAGACACTGTTTGTTCCGGGCTGGTTAGATTGGTTTGCATCGAATTACGTTTGTATTTCTTTAATATACGTACCCGAGAGCATTTACTCGCATCGTGTTTAGGAATCCCTCACCGTCGATCTCGGTGAATATCTTCGGTTGGCCTACCACGCCCGCATTCGCGAAGAAGACATCTAGTCGGCCGTATTTGCTGACTGCTTCATCGATGACTGCACTCAGGGCTTTTTCATCAGCCGCGTCAAATGACCGCACATGAATGTCTACGTCTGGGTAGAGGGACTCCAGCTCCCGTTTGTGTGTTGCCATATGGTTGTCGCTGAAGTCGCAGATGTAGACTGCTTTGGCGCCATTGTTGGCAAATTGGTGTGCGCTGGCCCGGCCAATGCCATTGGGAGAATTCGCGCCTGTAAATTAATTAATATGGTGTCTTTGAAATGGAGATGGGAATAGTTATTACCGGTCACGATTACTACCTTGTCCTTGACCCGGCTGTACATTCAGGCGTTAGCTATGCACCCAAGCATGTAATATGTACAATAACAGAAGCTGGTAAATCAAAATATAGCTATAAGCTTCAAGAATACTTACGGTCCTGCTGAATCAGAGGCAACATGCCGGATCTTGGGGATGTCCTCGAACATGCCCTCGGAGGGAATGCCCTCGTTGAGTTGCTTGCTCAGGGCCTGAAGACGTTGCTTGGCTACAGCGGACATTGTTAATTGAGTCTTCAAAAGATAATATAAAAAACAATTGAACACGCTAGAAGAACAGCTTTAATTGCGGCAGCTTTGTTATAACAGCTCGGCTTTCCCCACTATGTCGGTTATGCGGAGAGCCGAGGCTCCAGGTCTACGACAGACCATAGAGACCAGCATGGTAAGTTGGTCACGTGCGATAACCTCAATCAAGTCACATGACAATTGCATGGTCACGTCATGTGCCGTAGGGTATCAAAGCTGGCTTTGTGGGTTTCAGGATAACCTCAAATCTGTGCTCTTTATCTTTTTCTTTTGCTGGTCTTAAAATAGGGTGTCTAGGGTTAAAATCCGTGACTCCTGAAAATCACGGTCGATCTCCCTTCATTCCCCATCGGATCACTACAGCAAGGATCGCCAAGCAGGACAAGCCAAGTACTAGAAAGCTACATAACTAGTTGATTATTTGTCTCGCTAGCCCGGAACGCCATTTCCAATTCAGCCAGTTCCGAAAGCTCTCAGAAAAAGCCTTCATGAAGCCATTAATCAACGATTCCACCGTCCACGCCATTTCCCGGTTGTTGAGTCATGGCAGATTCCGACATCCACTCACAGCGACGTTCTTCGTCACAAGCGTCAAGTGCCTCGAGCAGAAGTCGAAATGCTAAAATCGCCCGCGCCAAAATACAAAAGCGCCATTCAGGCTCCTCCCATACAACGACCGATCTGACCTCCTTTCCCTCACTTTCACCCCCAGACAAATCTTCAACCCTCGCCTGTGGCCTGACGAATACATTGTTCTCCAGCGAAGACGGAGCGGAATCGAATGGGGGTGGGACTAGCCGGGGGCGGAAGGCTACCCTAGCAAATTTGACGACTGGGCCGTCGCACAAATCAGGTCGAGCTGCTCTCTTCGCCGATTCCGTCCCGACACATGATATCCCAGGCGCACTACATTTGGCCGACGATGCGCACATTGAGCGGCTGGTTGCTGGAACAGGAGCCGTGAAGATGGTGAGGCAGTTCGCTCGCGATCTGGCTCAACGGGATGCTGAGATTTCGGCCCTCCGCCAGCGCGCGGATGCAAGGGAGCGAGAGCTGAAGAGAATGCTACGAGAAGTATCTGTGTCCAATCAAGACATTGAACGGCGTTTATACCAATTGGAGAATCCGCCGGGCGATCGTGTCTCGGATGCAGAAAGTACTCATAGCAGCGATCATGCTGGCCAAATCTACTCCGGCCTAAATGGATTGATGTCTCAAGCTATGGAAGACACCGTGGGCTCGCCTCGCGGAGACTCAACAGAAGCCCAGGCCACGATTCGTGCCCAGCGGTCAGACAATGAAGCCCGGAACAGCGGAACCACTGACAACCGGAAGCGTCAGAGCTCAATTCGGGGCTGGCAGGAGTACCTTTTTGGATCGACCAATACAAGCCGGAAAACCAGCCGTGCCAGTAGCATCATGAGTGATGTTGGTGAACTTGGAGAAGAAGAGGCGGAGCGTCTACGAGTGCCCAGTAATCCTGCAATGCGGCGCAAAGCGATTGACGAGCAGCTATTCCAGCCCCCGGATGGCCCTGCGCGAAACGGACCGGCGAAGCGCATTCCTAGCACTTCCACGAATGGCGACGATGCAAGCATCCATTCTCGCAAATCTTCACGATCTATCGGCTCCTGGACCGTTAAGTTATTTGCTGGCAATCCTCAGTCGAACAAGGAAGCAAGTGATGCTGAGTCTGCCCACAATAAACCGCAACAAAAAAGACCGGATGGAGACAAAAGTGCTTCGTCTACACTGTCTGGTAATTCTAAAGGTTCAATGTCAGCAGTGGCCGCACTGAAGAAGATCAACAGCAATGCCAATATTCCTGCTACTGGGCGATCTGCCAGTGGGCCGAGCGCTCAGGGCAAAATGAACCCTCCTGCGTCGCGACGGGCTGCAGCTGGCAGTGTGTCTCAGGGTGCAGCGCCGGAGGCTATTGGTAGAGGTTCCACAAGTCTTGGGCCCGTCGAGATGGACGCCATTTTGCCCATGGAGTCAAAGCCCCCGACGCTCACTCCTATCTATAACAATTCCCAAGCGGGTGAGTTTCTCACCGACCGGTTCGGTTTCATCTATGATCAGCATAGAAAGAAGCGCCAGAGAGAAGCCAATGTTACCAAGAGCAGCATTCACCGTTTGAGTATATCCGAAACTCTCGGTACTCTTCGAACTGATTCGCCAGATCATGATGATGACCCCGAAATCACAAAACTTCGGCAAGGGCCCTCCGACGGCTCGCCTTCTCTGCCTGGCTCACCAGATGACCCTGACAGTGGCACTGTTTCCATCCGCCGCTGGCAGGACTATCTGCGGATTCCGTCCCGTCCCACAGAGCTATTGTCCCACACACCCTCGGCAGGCCCAATTGTCTCTTTGACCACCGCAGGAGAAAATCGCTCTCATAGCTCGTCTGTTTCATATGACAAAGATGGGGCGTTGGCTGTCGGCTCTAGCGCACAACCATCGGCGTCTACATCGGCTATCACGGCCGACAGCCCTGAGTTCGCGGGCTTGTCATCGGATCAACTCAAAGATACAGCCTCTAGATTCACTGTCGCAGAGATGGAGCCGGTAAAACTGTTATTGGAACAGTTGACCGATCTTCATGATACACTCCAACGCGATCGAACCGTGAGATGGAACGAGTTCCTTCGTAAAGTACGTGCTGAACGCCGAAAGGAGGGGGAGGCGGCAGCCGCTGCGGCAACTTCCGATCGATCTCTTGCTGCTGTTGATACGCCAGAAGTCTCGCTCGCCGACGGCGAAGTTGTAGGCATCGCAGGTCTGGGTAACAAAGGCAAGGTCGGCCGAGCAAAGTGGCGAGAATTCCGGATGCTCGTACTCGGCGGCATCCCAGTTGCTCTTCGCGCCAAAACTTGGTCGGAATGCAGCGGGGCTTCGGCAATGCGAATCCCTGGCTACTATGATGACCTTGTACATGGCGTTGGCGGATCGGACCCCGACCCTTCTGTGGTCGCACAAATTGATATGGATATACGCCGCACTCTTACCGATAATGTGTTCTTCCGCAAAGGGCCTGGTGTCAGCAAGCTGAAAGAGGTTCTTCTTGCGTACTCGCGTCGTAACCCAGAAGTAGGCTACTGCCAGGGCATGAACCTCATCGCAGCGTCTTTGCTGCTTATCATGCCCACTGCCGAGGACGCATTCTGGATTCTGACTTCGATGATTGAGATTATTTTGCCCCAGCACTACTACGACCATGGCTTGCTTGCCTCCCGTGCTGATCAGGTGGTCTTGCGCCAGTACATCTCCGAGCTGCTTCCCAAACTGTCTGCCCACTTGGAGGAACTAGGCATTGAACTAGAAGCACTGACCTTCCAATGGTTCCTCTCTGTCTTCACAGACTGTCTCTCTGCGGAGGCACTATATCGTGTATGGGATGTGGTTCTATGTCTCAATGTGACCAGCGCGGTCAACGGCTCCGGATCTACCTCTAGCACCAAGGAGAACAACGACAAGGCTGCCAAGGTTTCCGAAAATCTTGCTTCTGGCAGCGGAGGTGGAAGCACATTCCTGTTCCAAGTTGCTCTCGCACTCCTCAAGCTCAACGAGCAGCAATTATTGACGACCTGCTCGACGCCAGCGGCACTCTATACATACATCAACCACCAAATGACCAATCATGCGATCAGTATCGATGGCCTGATTCAAGCTAGTGAGGCACTGCGTAATGTGGTCCGCCGCGAAGATGTTGTTGCGCGTCGTGCTATTGCCCTCCAAGAAATGCGCGAATTGAGTAGTGCAGGCATCTAGATCGTTGATACGGAGTTTCTCGTCCCTTTCATTCATTTCTCTTTTTTTTTTTCACGCAATGCCGATACGACCTGAGCATAAGGCAAGGAGTTTTGGCTTTTCTGTTTGTTTTTTTCATTGCCTGGCGCTATTTCTCTCGTTTTGCGAAAGCACATGTTGACATAGCCAATGTTCTTGCTCGTCTCATACATCCAGCATTTGAGATACCCCTTTTACACTTGGGCGGCAGCACTATTAGATTTGTTTGAATGAAATCAAGACCTTTTTCACTATTCTTATTCGTGCATGGTTTTACTGATTATAGTTAAAGGGGCAATCCCTTGGGCTGGCCTAGCCCTTTTATCTTACTTCCGACCCTACACAGAAATCATAAGCAAGAAAGCTGATTTGAATTTCATTGCCAAACTGAAGGAAATTCCAAAAGCACTATCCACAACGAAGGGAGCATTGACCAAATCACAATTCAAAAGATCAAAGTGCTCAAACATGGTCATCCCGTCTCAGGTCTGGGCTTCCTCGTACTCGTCTCGAAATCATCCAATGCCGGTCCATCAACCCGGTCCATATACCGAATGACCTCCAACTGGTGAAGCTTGTATTCGAATGTCTGCGCATCCGAGACGCTTCTGCAGAGCTCTCCATCGGTGCTGATCGGGGCCGTGATGGGATACGGTGCTGTACTTATGAACCTGGCCTTCATCAGAGGTTGGAAGGTCTCTCTGGCTACTTTCATTCTTCGACCGTCTTCCTTGCCGGTGTAGCCGTCATATTTGATATTGGCTTGGTCCATGAGGCCTGCGTATTGTTAGTGTTGATTCTCTGGCTGAATCTTTTTTTTTTTTCTAGATTCTAAAACGTACACTCCATATGCCTGATGTAAAGGCATAGTCTCTGATATGTGCGTTGGAACTCGCGCTTCTTGATTGTTGCTCGGACATCAAGGTCTAACATCCAGGCAATCATTGCACAAGACAGTCCTGTTAATGTTAACATCTCGTCTTGGTGTGGGATTATGTTTAGCTTACCATCTTTGGTGTAACTATATTGTTCGCTTAGATATGGCGCGGGAATCTTTTCCATTCGATTCACAAAATCTGGAGGAGTATCTTGAGATGCCATAGTAAATCCAAATGATTCAAAGTGAGGATTGAAGAAGAAGAAATTCCTCTCTTTTTCTATCAACTTTGCAGTATTCTCTTTGTTCTTCCCCTCATCGAATTTCTTTGTTTTATATTTTCTGAAAATACAGACACGAGAAAGTCGACAGAGGGCAAATTCTTTGTTGAAATGGATGTTGACTCCTTTGTTTCAACTCTTAGAAAAGCCCTACTGGAATACTCTATATAATCCAACCCATTTCCTTTGATATAAAATACCATCTTTAACTTTCAAAATGAATTACGAACGCATGGCAGCTGAGATCCCTACTCTCTACCGACTATCTAGCGAATCCAAAGGTAATGTCTCGATTTCTCTTCTCTACTATTCTAACAAGTGAACAGAAGCCGATCTCCTCAATGGTCTTCTAGGCTGGATTCGCAACGACACCTTTGGAAATATGGCAGAAATATGTGCTCTCTGGGGTGCAATCGTCCAGGCCAATAATTACCTTGCCAAAGTCCATCGTAAGTCTACATTTTATATCTTATAACTCACTTACTGATTCAAATTTAGGTACGCTGCAAGCGCGTGCAATTGAACATGAGCACTTCCATCTCAAAGAAGTCCTGAATTCGGAGTTGAAGCAAGCTAAGGAGATGATGGATGCCATTCCTGGTGGTAGACGTGCAACTACGGTCACTACCGATGAGGATTTTTCTCTTGCTGTTAAGCGGTTGAAGTATCTCCGCGAGTACAAGTAGTCTAGTTCCTTGTTATGGAGAATGTGATTGCTGGGTATTTTAGTAGTTCCTATATCTTCCATATATCGATAATCCAAGGTGTCTGGATAACAAACTGGACGGCTTCCCTCATATTATAAGGATTTATAATAAAAGGGGACTAAGAGTATGAAGGAACAGGAAATTGAAGTCTTACTTGGGTCATTATATAACAATCTCGATCCGGAACTACCTTTACGAATTTATAAAGGTACAAATCAAATAGTTTGATATATACAAAGCCGTGCAAAACCGTCCCATCTCTCTTCGGATACCCCAGATACAGTTTTATTCTTATACTCCGGACTTGGGTCTGTAAGCCCCCAAAAGGGGGCTAGAGCCCTACAAGGGGGTTCGGTGGGTGGGTTGGTGGAGGCGAACACAGCCCTTTTGAAGGCTGATGAGAACGCTCTTGACTTGGCTCAACGATTCGAGAAGTCAATATCGGAGACGGTGTGAAACGTTAGAAAAGGTCGGGAAATGTGGTCATATCTTCTTTTCTCAGCTCGGGCTCTGATCCACCCAGAACTGACTGTTATCCAAAACCGTCGTCAGATCCAGCGAGTCCATCGTCGGACGAAGTCCCAGATCCATCACATCCCGTGCAACGGCTTTGATCTGTCGCATGATTGACTGGGAGATGGCCCAGGTGCGAGCCAATGACTTGAAGACACCGATCGTCAACGCCAGACGGTCGCGGCTGGGGTCTGGCATTTGACCGGCTTTAACGGAGCAGGTGGCTAGTTGAACAATGGAGCTCATAGTAAGCGCACAGATGAAAAATGGAGTGTGCTTGATAACGGGCAAACGGAAGGCAGCCAGGCGGGACAGCTCTCGGGCAGCCTTGGCGGCCTTCATGGCATGCTCATTGTGTGAGAAGGCAGGCACACTGATCGGGCCATGGTGGCCACAGATGACTTCTGCAGCAACGGCAGGAGATGAAAGAAGATCAGACCGCGGGAAGTTGAGGTAGATGGCTGCGCCGTTCAAGATCATGGTCGCCTGGAACATGACCTCATCCACGCTCCCATCGGGTCGCAGAAGCTCTTCCTTGGACTCTGGCAAGTGATGGCCCCAACTACCAATGCGCGCATCAAGAGCTTCCACTTGGTCCTGCTGGCCTTCGGTCATATCCTGCATCGCCACCACACGACCAAGGATCCGTACGGCTTCAATCCGATAGCAATAGGATGAGAAGTCACGCTCTTCTTCCGCAAACACACGCCCATCAAATTGTGCAATGGTCGGGGACGGTGGGGGTGGTAGGGCGTCATAATAGATCCGCTCTTCGCATGGAAGTGCGACCTCTGGCGGTACTTGGTTAGTTCGGTACTCGCGCTGTACACCGAGGGCAGTCATTAAACCCTCAACTACGAAGAGCTCCCACCAGGTGCGCCGCAGAGTCTCCGCGCGGATTGGATCTCCGTTGCTCATAAGGATCGCAAATGTGCCTTGATGCATACCAAGCTCGAAAGCCGAATCTACTGCAGCGGCCAGACAAGCGCCAGCCTCAGCACGTTCATTGTCTGAGTGAAGTACAATCGCCAGCAGAAGCAGCGCCTGCACCTTTTCCACCGACAAATTTTGTTCTTGGACCATTGCGACAATCGTAGGCCGGTACGTGTCACTCGAGGCGGCCGGGGTGAAGTGGGCACCGATGAACTTCATCACTTGCTCCAGGTATGCGGGGAAGATGTAACGACTTATGAGCCGGTGAGGTGGCAGGATTGGATGGGCGGCATGGAAAAAATTATAGTAGATATCGAGCAAATAGCCATCCCCACCAACAGCAGAGGAAGAATCAGGGGTCAAAGGTCCACTGATTGGGCGAACAGTTGGAACGATTGGCGTCGAAAGACCGTGTAGGCCGGGACTAGTCGAGGCGGACGAGGGCAAAGGTACGGTTGACGCATAAGTGAAGCCAGCCTGCAAGGTCCAATCCACAGGGACATCAAGGATGCCTACGTTGGGATCCATGGGCAAGTAATCCGGCGAGTTAGCACGGCGTTTTTTCGATGGGCCCTTGTAACCTCTTCGAGACTTAGTATATTCGCAAGGGGATCGGGCCTGTTCACAGCGGCTGCAGACGGGAGTCCTGCCATCACATTTGAGGTGTTTATGTCGGCACTGAAGACAGGCCAGTAATGCAGGACCCGGTTTAGACCCAGAAGTAGTCTGGAATTCTGTCATGGTGAAGAAAGACGCATAAAATGAACTAGAGCGAGAAAGATAAAAAGGATGAATCGAGGGGAAGAGAAGAGGGGAGTAAGATGTTCCGGGTAATTCGCATTACACACTAAGGGGCTGAGATATGTCTTCTTTCTCTCTCATTTAAGGAAGAGAGTTGTATATATATTCTTGAGAGAGTAGATTAAAGGAGAGAAAAGGAGAAAACAAAAAAAAAAAAAAACAAGATTTACAAGGTTACAAGGTCACAATGCAAGAGGTTTACTATGTAAGGAGTACATTACACCGTAACATCGTACTCCGCACTTACCACATTACCTTTCTCACCTCCAGATCGTCCCCCAACATCAACTTCTTCTGTCTTAACTATTCTTCCTATCCTTTCAATCCTCTGTGATAAAACATATCATTCCTACTTTTGGGAGACCCCCACTGTTATACAATCGTGTGGCCATCACTCGAAACTACCGGTCGACGTGTCTTCTCCGATACCCATCTCTCCACGCTTTGATTGCACCTTTTACCGTATCACATTGTTTCACCGTCTTTCACAATGATCTCCGACGATGACCTCTACCGTCTTGCCATCTTCCTTGGCTCCTGCGCCATGATGATGATTGTCCTATACCATTTCCTCGACGTCAATGCCAGCGAGGAGGAGTCTACTGAATCAGCACAAATCAAGGACACCGTGCCGGTGTCTACAGACGGCGTGTCAGCTTCATGAATGGGAAATTAAATCCGCAAGACCTGGGGAGAAGGAAAACAAGAATCAAACAACCAAGATACCAGTGCCTACAGCTTTGATTTTACTTTTATCAGCCGGGCACAACCCATTTGTACACTACAGTTACAATCAGGAGAGAAAGGCAGTCATTACCAATGTCATGGCTTCATTCATGCTCTCTAATTTGTTGTGTGGTTCCCGGAGAATTCACCATATAGATCTCGTAGATGAAGGACTATACTTGAGGTGTCATCCAGCAAAAAAAATGTGGCACTGTCTGCCATACTAAGACGGCATACGATGATATCCAACGCTAATCCATATGCAAAATCAGTGTCCATGCAATGAATCGAATCCCAGAAAAGGAAGGGGAAAAGGGTATCACAAAAGTCGATTCGACCCATCAATCCTCCCCAATAAATGCCATTTCCCCGCAGTGGATTTTGCTCTGACGAGCTGGTGTCGAGAGGCGGCGGTCACTCCAATCCATCTCAGGTCCGACCTGTTGCTTCCAGTGTCGTCCCGCTTCGAGCAATGCTTGAGCCTTTGTTTTCTCTGACAATTTGCCATGAACCTTGCTGAACGCCTTGACCTGGCACTCATCCACTGGCAAGACCATGGTCCCTTTGCGAGCACTTCGATCACCCAGAACGGAAGGGTAGTTCGATTTGTTTTCCGCTAAAAACATTCATCCGATTAGACATTTTCTTCAGATCAAAAACAAACTTTGTGTAGATCTCTTAAGAGGAGCATCAAGCGCAAGCTATTTTGTGATTCTCACCAGTTACTGGCACCTTTGGTCCATCTCCAAGCTGCCATGCCATCTTAGAGATGTGCTCGCTTGAAACATGCTTAAACATATCTGCTGCAGCCATTGGCGTCTTGTTATCACAGTATTTCCATTTGCAAACAAGAGAGTGCGGGATGTGAACTTTAATAACATGAGCTCGGACTGAGTCAATGTTGTGGAGTTCTGCAGCGCATCCCTCCCACTTGCAGGGGAATATTTGATAATCCACAGGCTGTTCACGGTGGATGGCAACTTCAATATGGCTCGCTGCACCCTTGGGAGGTCGCCCTGGCTTTTTCTTCTGGGGCATCTTGTGTGGTGAAGGTGGGATAACGACTTGTGGTTGGGGAAGCCGCTTTGCCTCTGGGGATTTCACTGTCCGACTAGAGTCTGATTGGCTTCTGGCCTTCTCTGGGGTTTTAGGCTTTGCTATAGATTTAGGTGTTGATTGTTTTGTGGCACGTGGGGGTTTGGGTGGACCTGCACTCTTCGTGGTGGATTGTCGTCGCTGTTGGGGTTGGGGTTGTGATGGTGGAGAAATCGTGAAGGGCACGGATTGATGGGAGGAAGTCTGCGGGGAATCAGGTGTAGGGTCGGCCCTAGGAAGTGGAGAATGCGATTTTGAAGAAACAATGGGTTGAGGGGAATGATAAGTTGGGGGTTTAAAAGGTAAAGTGCCCCAAGCGCTTAAACCACCTAGAGGTGCACGCGTGTCGATTCTTGTTGGCATTGTGACTTGGCGATTTGGCGGTGTGTGACGCGACGGGACCGGAGCGTGATCACGTGTAGTCACGTGCGTTGGTACATTTGAGTCACGTGAAAGTGATTGCTGGGCTGCCTGTGGTGATTGAGGATGAGGAGGTGGTCGAAGTAGTGTTTGGGGCGCAGAAGCCGGAGGCATGTGATCGACTTGAGGCTCAGGCTGCTCGCCATCCACCAGGTCCCAACGAAACGTTGCAAGGTCTGCAAGGTAGTCGATTTTGGTGAAATTACGGCGTAGTGGTTCAAGATGATAATTTAGTCCTTTTTCCGTTGGGTGTTTTCCCGCAGCTATCAGTACATCCCGCGCGATCGTAGTGGGGTCATAAGTGTGCTTGGGTAATGCATCGTTCGGTCTTATCGGCTGGACCAGGTCATCACGATTTTTGAGAAATTTACCAGGGCGTCGAACATATTCCATATAAACTCTAGCCCCTGATGCTGGGATACCTGCTGACATGTATTTTTTAGTGGCCATTGGGCCCTGACCATTATCCAGTCGTGGCTTCTTTGCAGGTGGCATATAGCCACTCGAATTCTCTTGGGTTGGAACCCACCGCTTGTGCTGATGGGGCAGTGGTCCCGGCAGTGGATAAACCCGCGACTGCGGGTTCCCCGCGGTAGGCTGTTGTACCCCGGCCGACTGAGAGAAGGTACCTCGCCGAGGTCCTGAGGTATATGGAGAGTTATAGGAGGACCCCGAGTTAAAGTTGGCGGGGGGAGTGGATGACGCAGGGGCTGGGGATACTGCTGGTCTCTGCTCATTTGATTGGGAGATTGGAGGCTGCTGGCTTATTTGATTTGGTGACTGGTATAATGAAGTAGGTGCTGCTTCACCCTGAGTCCCACCTTGCTCCCGACTCCAGGCATTGTCCAAATGACGTGGAACAGTAGATGTCTGTGCAGGGGGCGCCGGAGGGGCAGACGAAGATGCAGGAGTGGACGAGACAAAAGAGACAGAAGGGCTGCGGCTTGAAACAGGCTGGGATGTTGCAGGGCTGTGGACCCTATTAGGCGCAGTTGGCACAGCTGCCTGCACATGATCATAATTCTGAGATGAAGGCCTAGGTGGTACTTGCTTTGATCTGGCGAAATTGGTAACCGGATTCTGTCTTTGTGGATCGGAGGCCTCTCGGGTGGTTGTAGTTGGTGTGATTGACTGGCGAGGGTCAAGTGTGCTGTGTGCTGCAGAAGTCTTGTAACCCTTTGGCGAGACCAATGGGGTAGAACCCCCAGTTTGGTATGCGCTCTGCGATGTTTGGGGCCTCGCGACCGGTTCATGGGTCCTTTTGTCTGAAGACGCTGGCCAATCTCTTTGCGCTGCACTTGGAACAGATAGTTGCTGGCTATTCTGGGCAGGGGCCGTAGAATGGCCGTAAGGACGACTTTGTGATGCAGCCGGTGTGTATGTTCTTTGAACTTCTGCCGTCCTCCCTACTCCCATGTACGATTGTTCTAACGTTTCCGAATAATTACTATTCGGGATTGCCGAGTAGCCTTGATACTGGTTTTGTGATATGGGCAGAGCTCGTGCCATGTGTTGGTTCGTTCTCTGTGTAGGAGTTGTCGGTCTTGTAGGTTCATGGGCACCGTGAGTGTTGTGACCGGTCTCTAGGGGGGTTGGCATAGAGTCCAAAGGCCTTTGTGATGGGCCAGCGGAATCCATACCAGTTTGACCATAGCGATATGCATCCTGATATACCTGAGTAGTCAAGTGATGTTGGGACGGAACGGAGGGGCCTGGCCGCTGGCTTATGTTGTGAGAGCGATCTGTTGTGTATGCAGAGGGTCCAGAAGGGGGGTTGTTGAATTGAATATTGCTGTTTGCCTGGTGTTGGTTTCCTCTATACTGTCCATCCAAAGCTTGTGAGTACACCTGAGAGGGGTTCAAGGCTTCATTCGTCCCAGGATTGTTTGACCTCATAAATGAATATGACCTCAGTGCCTGTTGATGCATAACGGCCACTTTAGCCACCTCCTCCGCATCGTGAAATGCGGGATGTGCTTGGTAGGCCTCATTGTTGGGATTGGGTTCGTGGTCGGGTCGACTATCGGCTGGAAGGAAACTCTGGAGCCAATCGTATCCGTCCATGTCTCCATTAGACATTTCAAATCGTGCTGAAGCTGCCCGGGTGCTATAATCTCATCGCTGGGGATGCCGTAGCACCGAGCGAAGAAAAGACTTGACCCGCGATCCGTGGCGCATGGATGGGATTGAATCGGGGCCGAAAAAAGCCGTATTTACCAAATATACTCCAGTATACTGTCAAATCCAAAGTGAGGCCGAATTCAAGACTCAATGGGACTCCTCACGGTCCTAAAAAAAAGCGCGACCAAAAAGCTAGCGCAGATGTTGTCGAGGCGCATTGAGAAGCGCGTCGGAGGTGGATCCCACGATCAACCAATAATATCAAGTACATTTGGTGCCTTATAGGTCAGGTGTCTAGTTGCAAGCCCTGAGACGGCTTAGCGGGAAATTAGTAAGCACACAATCCGGCTCCAACTTGGAATATTCGGCTACACCAGAAAAGATCCTCTCTTCGACCAACGCCAACGACACCCGTTCACTTCACACCCCACGACCTTTAAGATGGCTGTCCGAACCCACGGTGCGTACTCTCTCGCATCTCGCCTTGCGCCGAATTGATTTATTGCCCGAAACCCCTATCGATACGAATTTTCGCCAATCTTCAACTTTCAATACTGATGGTGTCTCCAGGTATCGCCTCTTCGCGGAGCAAGTCTCGCAAGGCACACTTCCAGGCCCCCTCCAGCGAGCGCCGTGTCATTCTCAGCGCCCCCGTCTCCAAGGAACTCAAGGAGAAGTACGGAGTATGTACCACACCAACCTCCACATCGAATCTGGGTCTGTTTGAGTAGAGTTTTCGCCATTGGAAACTACGGACGATAGAGACACCAGACGCACAATACACGCCGATTCTAACTAGCATTTCGTGACAGATCCGCTCCATTCCCATCCGCAAGGACGACGAAGTCGGTGAGTTTGATTCTTGATTCGATCTGGGAATAATGAGATCTTGAAAGCTGACTGTTATGTGCAGTTGTTGCCAGAGGTTCGCAGAAGGGCCGTGAGGGCAAGATCACCAACGTCTACCGTCTCAAGTTCTCCATCTTCGTCGAGAAGGTACGATTTCGAATTTACACAATTATTGCGGTGGATACTTACTACGATTTTAGATCGTTCGTGACAAGAGCAACGGCCAGAGCGTTCCCATCCCCCTCCACCCCTCCAAGGTCGTCATCACCAAGCTGCACCTCGACAAGGACCGTGAGCAGATCATTGAGCGCATCGCTAAGGGTCGTGAGGCTGTTAAGAGCAAGTCGACTTAAGGGATTTCTTACGTGTGGGGTATAGGTTCATGTTGCAATGGCGGTTGACGGCGCGGGTTCAATTGAAGGACTCTGAGAAACGGAGTTTCCAGCCTGCTATGATCAGGGTAAAGTTTCTGAAACCAGGTGCATTGCGATGAATGAAAAATGAACAAAATTTCCTTTTTCTCTTCTACTCTGGAGTCGGTGCTTGCAGGGCAATTCACTTTGCGCAGCCGACGTTTTTCTTCCTTCCGTCCCGCCCACATAGGACAACATCCGTCAAATGCTACGGCTCAATCATGAGGCCATTTCGTTCGATGTCCAGTTTGAAGCTTGTCCGGTCTAGCATCTTTTTCTTCTTTGCTCAGTTTTGTAGCGACCTTTTTTTTCGTTCGCTTCCATCTCCAAATCTTTTTGGAACCCAGAAGTGTCGCCTGATATATCTCCTCGTCAATCCCGCGCCTTTTAGGACGGAACCTATGGTTGAAGAGGTAAACACTTGGCGTAGACAATTTACAGGGCTACTGGGAAGCTGGTAGTTTCTGTCTTACCTGCAGACTCACTCTGATGCTTTCGGGCAAGGACGAAGTGAGTTTGATGGTGAGGGACATATCTTACTTCAAGAGTATAGGTATTAACTGTAGACTGTAGGAATGGGTTCTATATATTATGGGGATAATGAATACTTTTTGATTTACTTTTTGCAACGAACTTCCGAAACTTCTGTAACATTTTCTTAATTGTAGAGTTCAGACTATACGAAGCATGTATGCTGGGATAAAGATCCCCGACGCAACACTTATATGAGCACAAGACAACGATATACAAATTGTCAGAAAATGGGATTTAATCATATGGATATTTCCATTCATTTTTGGACTTTTTTTTTATATTTAAACGATAGTGTAAAATATATGAATATATGTGATAAACGTATAACTGTTCAAAAGGAGAGTGTTCAACATTTTGGAATATTTCCTCATGGATAATATTCCCATTTGGATTATATTCCTACAACAATCATGCACTTCAACCAAGCAGCCCGGCTAGCTCAATTGGCAGAGCGTGTGACTTTTATCTGATCTGATCAAATACAATCACAAGGTTCGGGGTTCGACCCCCCGGTCGGGCAGTAATAACTGCCCATTTCTTTTTTTTCTTTTTTTTCTTTTTTTCTCATATATATTAAGTATGATCTATCATTATACGTAGCTATTCATTTCATTTTCGTGATGTTTGCTCATATTCTTTGCCCTTATTAGGCTGTGAAATGAACCAATAGAACCATATACACATATGTGCCTTCCAAGGCCTAATATCCATAGCCACCATTGCTAAGAGTCTTAAACGGACCTAATATCCATAATAGCCTTGCTAAGAGTCTCAAAGGACATTAAGTATATTTCTTATGATCAGTAGAATCACTCCATTTAAGTCCAATAAACATATGCTTCGATAGAGAGACAAATAACATAGCTTTGATATACATATCCTAGTAGGAAAATAAATAAACAGAGCAAACAGATAAAGGGAAAACCATCACATCATGTCTCATGAGAAAGTCGGAAACCGAAACCCCAGAAACTGGATATTTGAAAAAAGCACGCTCGCTGAATGTTTCACTCTCGAGACTGCGCTAGTGTCCAATGCACTTCCCCCATGCAGGTAGTCCGCACCCCATACCAATGAACAGATACAGCAAGAAGATTACGACAACTACCATCATGATCATCAACTTAGTATTCTTCCACCACATCCGTCTCCGTAGTCCCCGGCTACGAATCCGGAAATCATGCGCACTCCCGCCAAGTCGATCCGTTTTGTCAACTAGTAGATCGATACGCTCGCCACGCTCTAGGACCCGCTCGATATTCTCGGTCATTATATCACGGACGCTGTCAATCTCGCGTCGGGCGGATGCGAGCGAATCGGCTGGGGGGGCGGTGTTGTAGGCCTGCAGGAGAGAGCGCAGCTCGTTGTTGAATGCAGCACAGCCGTAGGCGGGAAGGGAGGCGAACTCCGTTGTGGATGGTTGGTAGGTGGTTAGGAACTTGCGCTTCATTTCTAGCAGGTAGGCGAATGGGATGCGGCGGCCTTGCTCTGCTGAGGCAACTACGACGAAACTCAGGGGAGCGTGGGAGTTGGGCTCTGCAATGTTGCCATCGTCGGATTGGTTGCCTTCTGGTGAGTCGGCAATGTAATGAACGAAAAGACGTTCATGGGTGAAGGTGAGCTTTTGTGGCTTATCGTGTGTGATCTTTGGCAGGATGATGGAGGCTAGTGACGAGGCAGCAGTTGATGAACTGCCCGGTGAAGAGTGTTCGGCCAGAATAGTAGTGCGGTAGGCGATGCAAGAGCTGGAATTGATTATATTGTTAGTCAAGGGATACTCTTTTTGATTGCTCAAATGTCACAGCAGAACTTACTAGAGCAAAGAGCTCGTCTTGGAAGATGAAGCCATGATATGATGTCAGTGGCCGTAACTCTCAAGATAGAGAAATCGTAGCGGAAAAGAAGAGTAGTTCAAAAAGATCGAAAAGTATGTACTCCTTAATCACCTGTGATACTCTTATGAAAGAGCTAAGTAATTTGAAAGGTCTTGAAATCTTGGAATCTTCAAATCTGGAGTACCTAGCACCCCGGGTTCGCGCAAAGCTGAGTCAGCCTCAATGCCCCTACCTAGACGCCTCTCTAGGGCAGTTTATGATGACTTCAATGTGAAAATTATTTAATTTAAACTTCATTCGGCCTGTCACAATACTATGTTATACAATCTAGATGCTATGGAATATTTGGTGGAGATGGTGTACATTTTGTGAAAGAATTCTATAGGGACGTCTACAATATATAATCTTTGCACCTGGCAGTTCATGCAGATGCAAGAGTAATTTGTACGAGCAATGCCTTGTCTCGTGTAAATATTCTACCTCTAATTCCAGTTGAAAATAAAAGAAAGAAAATCAAGGGGTAAATTTAAAAACAGTTGTGGACATCAACTAATTCGAACTCAGTATCATTACCTTCTTCCTTCACCGTGTCCTCTTTCACATCATCGGATATATCGCCAAAAGAAGGATCAGGCGATCCCGTATCTATAGTAATGGTGCCATTGCTCTGTGTTTCGTAATCCTCGGTAGTCAGACCAAAATCCAGTGATGTCTCATCATCGGTTAGCTCCGTGTCAATGTCCCATTGCGCTTCATCGTGGCTCTCATTATTCTCATGTTTGAGTCCAAATTGGGAATAGTCGGTGGAATCCACGGACTTCATATCCGAAGCGTGACTGTAAGTGGCATCGCGAGATGCACCATAAATGGTGCTCTGGGTGTCACTTGGCTTGATCTCGCTGAAAGAATCATTGCTTGAGGTGACACTGCCAGTGTGTACGGTGGGTCCAGGACCCGAGAATCCACCGGTGTCCATGGCAGGAATGATTAAGTCAGTGAAAACACCGCCCGTTCCATCGTCATTGCCGCCCGCCCATAGAGGTAGGTATTGGAATTCATTGTATGTGAGGCAGGTCAAGGTATCTGTGAGATCGTGTCGCATGCTGGTTAGACCAGGTTGCTGCAGCATCTCTAGTGCGTATTGTCTCAGGAAAGAGTGAACCTCATTCTTGAATGTCTTTTCTTGGAACATTTCTGCTGGAATATCCGTCTTTGCTGGTAGTGGAGATACAGGTGGAATATATGGGTTAGGGGTGGGAGCAGGAATTGGATCGAGGAAAGAGCCCTTCTTGGAAGTGTTATCGACCTCGTTGCCAGATTGCGACTGCCGGACGTTAATGGTCATCTCCATCACAACGTGCCCTCCCGCATGTTGCGCAGCCAGAGCCTCTTCCTCCTGGCGAGCCTGAGCTCTGGTTCTAACTGCTTCATTGAAGGCACAGCTCATCTTGCGAACTTTCTGTGACGGCACATGGCAAATCCTTGCTGCGGTTTCGCCACCAAAGCCCAGCAAGCTATTGCCGATCTCTGCTATCGAAGAATGAGACACCGTGCGAGGTGCTTCCTCTTGATCGAGATCCAGCCACACCAGCACACCCCAGAAGCTTTTCCCAATTAATCGCTGGAGGATAAATCCTTTGTCTATGCCCGATCGATGATATGGGTTTTCTGATTTCGTCAAGCTTGGAGCCACATGGAATGTGCGATTTGTGTCTCTTGTCTTGAGCAAAGCCCCATATATACGGCCACGGATGAATTCCTTTAGTGTCATGACTAGTTCATGTACCATTCCTTGGTCCGCTGGATAAAGTTGAAGATGCCGGGTAAGCTTCTTGAACTCAGCAATGTGTGCCAACCAGGGCATTTCACTCCCGGCCAATTGTAAGAAACACCGAACAACGTAGTCACCAAAGCTCTTGCTAGCATATTCGATGCGTTGCACCTCTGCATCGTCTAGAATATCAGCAATCTGGCTCTGCACCAAGCTTTCCATAGATCCGATTGGTTTGAAAGATGTGGCCCGAATCAGGTACAACAGGGCTTCGTCTCCCACCATTCCCACAAAAGCATCTCGACAGAGGCCGGGGGATCTTATAGCACATGCTACTCGATATGCTATCTCGGGATGAAGTTCAATGAATCTAATGTTGTTGAGCTGGTAGAACCACGAGATGATACGGTCGCAGATAGCCGGAACCGTAGCCACGTCAAATATTTTGGCGAGCGCAAAAAAGGTCCAAAACTTGCAAGGTGTGTCTATTTTGGGGTTTAATCCTTCCAGAACGTGGAGAATGTGCTCAATGCCTTCACAGTGACGCGAGGCGGAGTATTCCACTGGCACGCCCTTCTGCTTCACTACCTTAGGATGCGATGCTGAAGATTGGCTCTGTAGTTCAGATGAAGATTTAATCGGTTCATTCTTCAAATCAAGATAGCCGGCATCCGTGTCGCCTCGGGGCTCCGGAGATGCAGTGGGGGATTGCGTAGGTTGTTCAAGATGCTCCAATTCATCTTGTCCCCCAACGCATAGCGATGGCAGGCTCCATATAAGCCGTTTCGAGGCCCAGGTCCTAATACTCATAGGGCATGAAAGCTCGGTTAGGAAGATGACTGCGTCTTCGTCCATGGTCGGAGGTGTAAGGTCCAAGACGTATTGAATCCCATCTGGAAGCTTGCCAGTCAAGCCGCGTCGCTTTCGGACCCGCATCTGCATTTGCGGATTGAAAAGCCGTTTGAAGTAGGCCGATCCTGTGGCCAACAATTTATCACTGTGAATACGATGGGGAACTGTCTGTGCAGAACAAGGAAATTTAGATCGGATTGTCTCCGGAGAAGGGTCAATGAACACTAGAGTATCTGCTCCATGGAGAAGAAGTAGAAATGGCATAGTTGTAAGGTTGAGAAGTGATTCCTGGGAAACCGGGGGACTTGCTGGGAGTGTGGGGGAAGGGGTATGTGTAGGGTTTAAGATACTGTCAGATTCGTTTGCAGTGTCACTATTCTGATTTTGCTGATTTTGCTGATTTTGCTGCGAGGGTTGAATGTTTTCAATCCCTCGAGATCTGTCTGGAGAGGCAAGTAGCTCCATGATTGAAGACCATGAAGAGAAGATGAGGATGAGGATGTAGAAGTGAGATTTAAGAAATAGTAAAAGAGGTTCAGATCGG